CTAAATGAATACAAAATTGGTTCACCGACCATATTCATTTAGACAGGTTTGACTATAGTCTTTAAAGACAATTCCTTTAGACTTCTGATGAAAGCTTTTAATAATCTATATTTTTATTTGTTCTTTTTTTAATAAGATCAACTCCTTCCTTTTTTGACATGTGTTTCAGTCTGGGAGGATCAACTGACTCACTAGTATAAATGACCAACCAGCCTAAACTTTGAACAAGAATTAACAAACATCAGGCTGCAAGTAGTTCATCTGCTAACTTATAAAAATATGGATATCGAGATATCAGATTTAAGTTAGAATTATCGTTAATGATTTTTAACTTGACTTGAAAAATATTCTTATAAAGTTAACTTACAAACTATTATAAAGTTATTTCATATAACAGATACAGATACGGATATCGAGATGTATTATTAAATTTGAATTGTCATTCGTAATTTTTAACTATTTAACTTGATCTGAAAAATATTCTAATACTGTTAGCTTACCGACTATTATAATTTATTTTGTGTAACAGATACAGATGCAGATATTGAGGCGTGTTATTAGATTTGATTTATCGTTCGTAATTGTTAACTTTTAACTTGACTTGAAAAATATTAACTTACTTGCTGTTATGTATGTTATTTCGTGTAATAAATACAGATACAGATATCAAGAAGTGAGTTATTAGATTTGAATTATCGTTTGTGATCTTTAACTTTTTATTTAACTTGAAAAATAATCTTATACTGTTAACTTACATGCTGTTATGTTGTGTTATTTCGTGTAATAAATACAGAGATATGTTATTAGATTTATAATATCATTTGTAATTGTTAGCTTTTTAACTTGACTTTAAAAATATTCTTATACTGTTAACTTACATACTGTTACATATTATTTTGTATAACAGATATTAGATTTGAATTATTGTTCGTGATTTTTTAACTTGACTTGAAAAATGTTCTTATACTATTAACTTACTTGCTGTAATGTAGTGATATTTCATGTAATAGATACAGATACAGGTATCAAGATGTGTTATTATATTTGATTTATCGTTCATTATTTTTAACTTTAACTTGATTTAAAAATATTCTTATGCTGTTAACTTACAGGCTGTTATATAGTATTGTGTAAAAGATGCAGATATCAAGATATGTTATTAGATTTGAATTATCGTACATGATTTTTAACTTGAATTGAAAAATATTCTTATACTGTTAACTTACACACTATTATATAGTGTTATTTGTATAACAGATACAAATATTAAGATATAGTTATTAGGTTTGAATTATCATACATGATTTTTAACTTGATTTGAAAATTATTCTTATAATGTCAACTTACTTGCTGTTATTATTTTGTGCAACAGATATTGAGATGTAGTTATTAGATTTAAATTATCGTATGTGATTTTTAACTTGATTTGAAAAATATTCGTATAATATCAACTTACCGACTAATGTTATGTAGTTTATTTTTTGTGCAACAGATACAACAGATATTGAGATGTAGTTAATAATCATATACAATTTTTAACTTGATTTGAAAAATATTCTTATAATGTCAACTTACTCGCTGTTATTTTTTTATGCAATGGATACAACAGATATTGAGATGTAGTTAATTATCGTACGTGATTTTTAACTTGATTTGAGAAATATTCTTATAATATCAACTTATGGGCTGTTATTTTTTTGTGCAACAGATACAACAGATATTGAGATATAGGTTTAGATTTTAATTATTGTACATGATTTTTAACTTGATTTGAAAAATATTTTCATAATGTCAACTTACCAACTAATGTATGTAGTTTATTTTTTTAGATACAACAGATATTGAGATGTAGTTATTAGATTTAAATTATCGTATGTGATTTTTAACTTGATTTGAAAAATATTTGTATAATATCAACTTACCGACTAATGTTATGTAGTTTATTTTTTGTGCAACAGATACAAAAGATATTGAGATGTAGTTAATTATCATACGTGATTTTTAACTTGATTTGAAAAATATTCTTATAATATCAGCTTACATTCTGTTATTTTTTTGTGCAACAGATACAACAGATATTGAGATGTAGTTATTAGATTTGAATTATCGTACACGACTTTTAACTTGATTTAAAAAATATTCTTATAATATCAACTTACCAACTAATGTTATGTGGTTTTTTTTTTGTGCAACAGATACAACAGATATTGAGATGTAGTTATTAGATTTAAATTATTGTTCGTGATTTTTAACTTAATTTAAAAAATATTTTTATAATGTCAACTTACTAGCTGTTATTTTTTTGTAAAACAGATACAACAGATATTGAGATGTAGTTATTATATTTGAATTATCATACGCAATTTTTAACTTGATTTGAAAAATTTTCTTATAATTTCAACTTACTAGCTGTTATTTTTTTGTGCAACAAATACAACAGATATTGAGATGTAGTTATCAGATTTGAATTATCGTATGTGATTTTTAACTTGATTTGAGAAATATTCTTATAATATCAACTTACGGGCTGTTATTTTTTTTGTGCAACAGATACAACAGATATTGGGATGTAGTTATTAATTATATGTGATTTTTAGCTTGATTTGAAAAATATTCTTATAATATCAACTTACGGGCTGTTATTTTTTTTGTGCAACAGATATAACAGATATTGAGATGTAGTTATTAATTATGCGTGATTTTTAACTAGTAATTTAAATAAACGTACGTCATGCCGTCTGTCGCGATTTCCCACATAACTAATCCGTAACTATAAATATCTGCGTAAATGAAATAATTTATTTGAACAAAGAATAAATGAATTAAATTATTATAGATGTAATTGTTTAAATTAATGATTTAAAATTACCTGAAAGCTGTGGCCGATTTTTGTAATGGTTTACTAATTCTTCATTTTCAAGTAGTTTTGAAAATTCTGAATTTTCAATGTACTTTTGATATCGTTTGGGATTATAAGCAAAACGTTCAGGTGCTCTCCATTTAAGAGCTCCTAATGAAATTAAAAAAAATTTATTATGGAATATTTTTATTTTTGAAATTATAATCGATTTATTTACCTCCAGCATGTTCTCCAAGGTCTAACGCCTCTTTTGTAATGCTCAAACCAAAGCCAGCAATCTTTAATGTCAAATGCTTATCCACCAAAATATTATCAGCTTTAAGGTCAGAGTGTACGATGCCATGGTTATGACATTCTATCAAACCATTCGCGATATCGACTGCCATTTTTGCTTTTTTGTACCATTCATGCTCATTTTTTTCAAGGAAATCACGTAAAGTTCCCTTTTCAGCAAATTTTGTGACCAAATACGTTCTGTCATTTGGGGACTTAACCACACCACAGAACTCAATGATATATTCAGATCGAAGATTTTTATGTTTTTTAAGTTCATCAATTATTTCATTCATGTCATCATTAGCGAATTGTTTGACTATAAAAACATAATCATGAATTATATGAAATAAAATTTTTAATTTTTTTATACTAACACATCATAGAAAGTATTCAAAAAAAAAAAAAAAAAAGAACATGAGAAAATACCAGCAACTTTTTTTCCTTTGTATTCTCCAAGAACAACTTCACCCGCTGATCCTTTACCAAGTTTTTTATCTAACCAATTAATCTCTTCATAAAGAATAAAGCAATCACTCATTTTCAATAATTAATAAGTTAAACTTTCAAAGTTATTTTACGATAAATTTATAATGTTAACTTTTGTTTAATGAAAAAAAAGTAATTCTGCTTCGAGGACAAGACTTTTTTATAGCATTTTTATTAATATGTGATTTATTATATTGCTGCACCGTCGATGTTACACAACTAATCCCACACCTGAGATGCAGCACATAAAAAAATTATTTTAGAATACCGGATCATTCCGCTAGTAAATGTTACGATTATAATCCCTCACCTGTTTGATTATAATCCAACAGGTGAGGGATTATAATCGTAACATTTACTAGCGGAATGATCCGGTATTGTAAAATAATTTTTTTATGTGCTGCATCTCGGATGTGAGATTAGTTGTGTAACATCGACGGTCCCTCCTGTTTATTGCTGCATCACTGCCTGTTTTTTAAGGACGTAAAAGTCCAGTTCGAATTACAGTTTGTGGTATTTCAAAAAGGAAATTTTAACAATGGAAATGATCGGCATATTAAATCGGATTTTACTATTAAATTTGCATCCAACGGATAACCGGACCCAAACTCTAGTTATACCTACCACCATCGACAATAGCAAAACAATCGCACAAATAATCATGATTCATACGACATTATTTGGTACACTCAATACTCAATCAATAAACAACGTGCAAATCATTCAACGAAATGCAAAATTGAACACGAAGTTTAAGGAATATCGCAGCCAAAAAGTGTTTAAAAAAAAAATTCAATTATTAAATTCAATTACCTATTATTAATTCTTGTGGTCTTAACACTACTTACAATTGCATTTATACGTTTAAAGCACTTTTAAAAATGTAATATTTCATAAATAAAAAATAAAGTTATCACTATATTCGAAAAAGTGTTAACAGTTATACAAAATAATCCCAAATAATCCTACATCTAGATGTACTGTACCATACCCAGAAAGTGGAATTTCTACGTATATTATAACTATAGAACTACGTATATGTAATTACTAATCGTTAAATATAGTAACAGTTATCATATTCGGGTGGAAGGTTATTTGCACGTGACTATTAGGACTCGAGGCCGAGTCAAAATTAAAAGTTGCTGACTGATTTTCGGCCGATTTTGGCATAACTGATTCAAATTGCTATACATCATTTTAATAATATACTGCAGTTTTTTTGATAATGAAAGATCATATATTGTGATTGGCCATTATCATCGTTGTATTGAGATTACTATTATATATTAGTGCATTTAGACTAAGACTTTTGAGAATAAAACTTATGTATATTGCCATATAAAGACTTGATGTGATGAATGTTTACGTAGTTAATATGTACGTACGTACGTACGGTGCAGGAAACCTAAAAGCTTCAATTACTTTATATAGAATAAAGGTCATCGAACTCATTGAAGATAAGCTACATTTGTCATTCATATAACGGTTTATTTCCGTATAATTGAATATTTGCTATTAAGTACATATTATTATTGGCGTATTATTTTTATGAGAAGAGATTGACCTTCACGTTATTGAGATTAATAATTTTATTCTATGCGATACTTGTTTATGCATTGTCCTACATCGCTATATAGGGCGAATAAGATTTTATTTCCTGCTCCGTACGTGCATAAGTACATTGCGTTACTTCTCATAGAAATAATGTAAGTAATTCATTGATATAGTTTAAAATTATGATTCTCATTTAGTTTTAGTAGTATAGTATATATTACAATTTAATTTTATTTTATTAACTAGCAAATTTTATTCAAAAATTTATTTCTCAATATGCTACGTAGTCTATGCATGTGGGATTTCTCATTTTTTTATCATATAAATGATTTCGAAACACTGTTGAAACATCATATTACCCCTATGCATGCACTATATAACATAAGGTTACTTTTTAGTGATTGGCAAATTGACCGCCTATTATTCAAATTTCCTTATTATTATTTGCGGGTCGGTTAAAACGGAGAGAGGTTTGGGTTACCTTTTTGATGCAGTTATTGTTAGTGAGTTATATAGATATCAAGAATGCAATTTATGCAGTATGTAGATCATAAATTGTAACAACTACACTGATCGACATCGAATTGACCAATTAGATTACAAGATCAGGTATAACGTGAAAATCATGCGTTTTTTTTAAAACCTCCAGTATCTCATCTATGTAACGCAAATCTTACGTTTTTGATACTTTTGCACTTACTTTTTTGATACACCTAAACATGCTCTAAAACTAACCAATAGGACTGTATGTTTTTTATAATAAAATTTTAATAAAAAGTATAAAAATTTTAGGGTATGTTTAGGTGTATCAAAAAGTAAGTGCAGGAGTATCAAAAATGTAAGTTTTGCCTATGTAACCTTCTTCTGCGCACTAGTAAAAAAAAATTCCTTGCAAAATTTTAGTATAAGACAAGCCTTGTTATAATTGTAAAACTGACCCTAATGTAGTGTTTTATGACTTTAAAATTTTTCGTATATTCGTTGTTGTAGATTGGAAGATCTACCTTGATTAACCGATCAAATTGTGAAGCCAAAAAAAGAAAAAGAAAAAAAAATACATAAATGGAAATCTAACTTGGAATACAATTTTACCTATAGTAAATGCTAATTTTAACATTAAACTTGTTGAACTTGTTCTAACACTAACTTAAATGAGTCAATAGTATATTGAGCTGTCCGATTCTTTGCTGAGTAATTTTTGGGTAGTGTTATTTCAAATGATAATTTTTGTGCGCCCAGAAAATGCATTTACTAATTTCCCCCAAGTTTCTATTGGCTGGGATTATTCGCACAAGTTTACATGTCACCTTCTATGTAATTAAAATGTGATAAGTGCCCAATAGGTGATTTCTTAGGCGAAATTTTGAATAAATGTGTTTTCGAAAAAAACGATTGTTGTTTTGATCTTCGCGTTACACCTGATCTTGCATTCTGATTAGAAATGGTACGTACGTACGTTGTGACAGGGAAAAATGGCACTACGTCTAAAAGATATATTTCACCGTCAAAAAACAACCAAAAATGAAGACTACTCGAAAGAGGGCGTGGAAGATTTGGTCCGAGAACCAAGGAATCCTACTGCCATTAGGATCCCTGGGTTAGATGGTCTTTATTTAATTATGATTCTTATTTACCTATTATCTGTCTGCCCCCTTTAGTTACATGAACCCAAGGAGCTTTTATACATTATGAA